ACTTGCAGGGAGAAGCCAAGATGGCTGTTTCAGGGTAGCCACCCAGCTGAATTCTCCCAACATTACCCTCCAAACAACTTTAAAACAACTCCCCAAATCAAATTTTGGAACAGCAGAGCCCACAAAGGTCAAGGTGAGACATTTTTCCTGTCTAAGAAACTCAAAAAATCATCAGAAAAAGTCTGGAAACAGGGGTAGAGGTGTGTCAAGAGGCTACACATTCAGGGGTGCAACAGCAGCCACGGTAGTACAGCTTTGGGAGCTCTCAGATAACAGATGGTAAGCGGTTTAGATAACTGGTCAGAAAGAGATTACAAGAGACCCTTTGCTGGCACTGGGTACAGATGGTGCTGACTGGCAATTCTAATGCCCTTATATAGTTCTGGGTTACAGTTACAGGGTGGAGAGGAGCACTTGTGGTCAGACCCAAGTGAGCTTCAGCCCTGGTTGCAATTCCAAAGGAAAGAGAATGGAAGTGTTTGTGCCTGATCAGGGACTCTTCCTAAGTAAAGACCAGAGCACAGACTAAGAGACAAGTGAACATATCTCTCCCCAGGTCACATCACTTTGGAAGCACCAAAACCTTGCAGACCACCAAAATTAGCTCTGAAAATACACAAAAAAGCCTGAAACTTGGCACAGCACAACTCCCTATCTTCAACGGAGCAGAGCCCAACTTTAACATAAAGTTCTAAGTAAAAAAAATTGGCTGGAAAATGAGCAAACAAAAAAAAAAAATAACTTGACAATAAAAAGCTAGTATAGTGGCAGAAGACAACAGTATGAAAACAGCTACAAACAAAGCCTCAAAGAAAAATGCTAATTATATCCAAAACCTACAAGAATTCCTAGAAAAGTTGAAGAAAGAGGCAAAAGTGATAAAAGGGAAAATGGGAAAAGAAATGAGAGTAGAGCAAGAAAATTATGAAAAGAGAATTAACAGCTTGGTAAAAGAGGCACAAAAAATACTGAAGAAAATATCTTTAAAAACAAAATTGGCCAAATGGTTTTAAAAAAGGCACAAAAATCTACTGAAGAGAAATCCTTAAAAAGCAGAATTGGCCAACTGGAAAAGAAGATACAAAAGCTCACTGAAGAAAATAATTCCTTAAAAATTAGAATTGGGCAAGTGGAAGCTGATTATTCCATGAGACATCAAAAAACAATAAAACAAAGTCAAAAGAATGAAAAAAAATTGAAGAAAATATGAAATACCTCATCAAAAAATAAGTGACCTGGGAAACAGATCAAAGACAGGTAATTTAAGAATTACTGGACTAGCTGAAAGTCATGATCAAAAAAAAAAGAGCCTAGATATCATATTTCAAGAATTTATCAAGGAAAACTGTCCTGATATCTTAGATCCAGAGAGTAAAACAGAAATTGAAACAATTCAATGATTCATCTCCTGAAAGAGATCACAAAATGAAAACTCCTAGGAATATCACAGTCAAATTCCAGAGCTCCCAGCTCAAAGAGAAAATATTGCAGGGCAACTAGGTGGCACAGTGGATATAGCACTGGCCCTGAAGTCAGGAGGACCTGAGTTCAAATCCAGCCTCAGACACTTGACACTAGCTGTGTGACCCTGGGCAAGTCACTTAACCCTGATTGCCTAAACAAAGAAGAAGAAGAAGAAGAAGAAGAAGAAGAAGAAAAAGAAGAAGAAGAAGAAGAAGAAGAGGAGGAGGAGGAGGAGGAGGAGGAGGAGAAAATATTGGTAGCAGCCAGAAAGAAACAATTCAAATGTCATGGAGCTGCAGTCAGGATCACATAAGATTTAGCAGATTCCACGTTAAAGGAACAGAGGACTTGGAATATGATATTCTGGAAGGTAAAATAGCTAGGATTAGAACCAAGAATCATCTACCCAGCAAAATTGAGTATAATCCTTCAGGAGGAAAATTAAACATTTAATGAAAGAGAGGAATTTCAACCATTCCTGATGAAAAGATATGAACTGAATAGAAAAATCTGACTCAAGAGAAGCATAAAAAAGGCAAACATAGAAGAGTAATCAAGAAAGACTCAATAAAGCTAAAACTACTTACATTCCTATATGGGAAAATGATACATGTAACTCCTAAGAACTTTATCATTATTAGGGCAGTTAAGAGTTATGGGTGTGAGCCGATTATGTTAGAACGATCTCCAAAAAAAAACCACAATCCCAAAGGGCTCATGATGAAAAAATGATATCCACCTTGAGGGAGAGAACTGATGAACTCTGAGTGCAAATTAAAGCATAATTTTCTCACTTTTTAAATTTTTCTTGCTTTTTTGAAATATGGTTAATATGGAAATATGCCTTACATGATTTCACATGTATAACTGATATATTGTTTGCTTTCTCACTGGGTGAGGGAGGAAGTGGAATAGAGATAATTTAAAACTCAAGATTTTGAAAGAAAAAATGTTAAAAGTAAATAATAAATTAGAATTTAAAAAATTAAAACCTCTAATTGACTTTATTTTACATCTCAAAATGTTTCGGGTTAAGATTCAGAGAAAATACTTGATAACAAGCTGGTGTAGCTGTTAAGGAACTGTATTTATATTCAAACTTGGGAAATTTTTACTTGCTTCCTAGCTTTTCATTGACAATATTTTTTTTATAAAAGCCATCATTAAAAGATAACTCAGTGCACAAATGAACGCTTCTTTAATGTGAATCATATAGGTTCTAGAATGGCAATGATTCTATCTTGATCACTCAGCCTTTGTTTGAAGACCTCTACAGACAAAAAAATCCATCACTTCAAAAGGTATTTTATTTCACTTCTGGGTAGCTCTAATTATTAGGCTGGTTTTTTTTTTCCTTATATGAGACGTAATTTTTCACATTGCAACTTCCACTTGTTCCTTCTAGTCTTGCTTTCTGGAGCTGAACAGAACAAATAAATTTAATTCCTCTTCCACATGAAAGTCCTTCAAATACTTGACAAATTAATAACTATGGAAATTTATTTAACCTAGGCTTCCTCTTTATCAATGATAACAGCTTTGCTCTGGGCTTAGATAATCTCCCTTTTCTCCCAACCTCCACTGTGTCACCCTACCCCAACATGCATATAACTTTTTATTTCTTATTGTTTCTCTGAAATACACTTCTGAAGCAGTAAGTGATTTAGGCTAAAAGGGGTCTCACATTTTGTCAGCAATCAAATCATCTCAACTTGATATATGTAAATTGTTTTAAATGAGTATTTGGGGAATGGGAAGCTTGATTATTGTTTGAAAACTACATTGATATAGATGTCTCTGAAAACTTACTCTGAGGGCTTTTCAGAAGAAATTCTGAATTTAGCTACATAGTTAATTCTGAGATTACAGCCTATATTTCTAAGTTTTATAATTTCTTGTCTTCTTTTAAAAATCAGTTGTCACTTTGGTAAATGATTTCTGAATTCTGGAAGCTAGAAGTAACTGTTCTTTATCATCGTAATGTTGGAGTTGACCTACATGTTTAGCCATGTCAAATCTTAGATTCTTCCTTGTCATGGTCCAGTGGATTCTTTCTGTTTACATTTAAAAACTTATTTTTCCTAATTCTATGAAATTTTCTTTGAGAATTTCCTAGGATACAGTTTTAAGAACATAGCTTTAGAGCTGTAAGTGATTTCAGATATCATCTAGTAGAACAGCTCATTTTACAGATGATGACACTTGAGGTCCTAAGAGCTAAATGATTTTTCCTAAAGTCATGCAATAAGGTGCAAAACTGCTTTTGGAACTTGGAGCCTCTGACTCCCAGTCCAGGGCTCTTTCCATTGCATGAAAGCAATTTTCATTTTCTATATTTTCTGGGATTTCAATAATGCTGAGATCATGCCATTTTGATCTAATCGATCTTCCCAGTTTCTCCCTTGAATCTGCACATATTCTGGGAGAAAAAATTTGGGGACACCTTGTGTTTTCAGTATCTCAGCATTGTGTGCTTTTCTTCTTTCTACTATAGTTTGTCAATAGTTGCTTCTATGGTGTTTTTTTTAAGGTTTGTTTTTTTTTGACAGGTTCCATCTTGGTAATTTTTGCTTTTTTTTTTTTCTCAATATTTTTTGTACCTTTTCGTTTTAAGCTTGAGACATTGTTTCCTTTTACTTTCTTCAAACTCCTATTTTACTCGATCATATGATATTTATGCAAATTCTTGATTAATTTTTAAAATTCTGCTTATTCATTTGAAGATATCTTGCATTGCTTCTAGTACTTGAGTTGATTCAGTTGCTTCATTATATTTTTTAAAATGGAACTGATGTTTTTTTTCCTTTGTTCATTTTTTATTTTAGAGAGTCCCTCCACTTGGGTAGTACTTTTTAAAACCATTTTTCTTCTTAATGTATTTATGTGTTGTTTTTTCAGGAGTAAGTGAGGAATGCCCATGTCCCTTCAAGTGTCACACTCAATCACGTTAAGAAGGAAGCATAAAACTATGACTTATAAAACAGTGTCCTAACATCTATCTTTAGAAAAGCTTGTGTTTTATTGTTTTTTTTTATAACGTCTACCTACATAGTAGAGGCAGCCAGAACTGCTCTATTCACAAAATAAGTCTAATACCATTACTCTCATAGTACATACCACTAAATTTTGGATTTTACTTCAAGAAGAAAAAAAGGATGCCTGAAGCAAAGAGAAATCAGAGCTCAAAAATGTAGGAATGGAAACGGATGGCAGGTTCAAGAAAAGAGAGGAATAGGTAGTGGGGTGGGTTGTGGGAACATTACAAGCAGAGAAATCTCTATTTAGTTATCAACAAATAGAACCAACTTTGGTATATTTGAAGTACATATGAGTCATCTCAGAAAGAAAACCTGCTTGTTGGTACGTATATATTCTCAAAACAATAGCAGCTCATGCCTCAAAAAAACCTTATTAAAGCAAGAGAGGAGAAAGTGTCACAGTTTTAAATCCGTTCCCTTTTGAGTAAACACATGCTATTTTCAAAAAGACTCGTGCACAGAGGAGATAAGACAAGCACATGAGAGACACCTCAGTACCTTCGCAGCTTCGCCAAGGGTCTGGTTCTTGCCCGCTTCCTCGCTCGAGCACAGCTCTAGTCTATAGTTTAACTCCTGAAGCTGCTGGGCCTGTTCATTCAGAAGCCTCTGGGCCTGCTGCTCCCGGAGGAATGCGTTATTCAGTTCTTCACAGGCACTTTCAAACCTCTCACGGGTGATCAGTTTCTGATAAAAGAGGGAAAAGTGATTTAGTTATAAAATAACTCTGCTATTTCTATATTTGACCTTAAGAATTGTATTTGCTAACATGCAAAAGTGTCAGCCAAACATCTGAAAATATATGATGCATATCAGAAGACCATTTTTCTTTACTTTACAAAGTAAGCCATACATAACTGATTAGTATTAACAACATACCTTTCTCACAATTGATCACAATACATTCAAATAAAAGTAAGGCTTTCTTCTCAATTCTACACAAATCAAGAAGATTTAAATTAAATATGCAGGTATTAGGAGCTTTACAAAAAGAGTTTATTTCCATTTCAATGTACCTATTAAAATGTTACTATAAAATAACATTTTATAACTATTTTAAATAAATAATATTCAAATGTTTTAAAATATATTTAATAATATTCAAAATAAATATTTTAAATATTATTTCCAAAGTCTAAGAAGGATGCTTTGAAAAGCATACAGAAGTATCAAAATGATCTATTCTATTAGTGAAGGTCAAGTATGAATACAGTCCAAAGTAATATTCCTCAGTACACTTGTCAAATAAACGTAAGCAAAAATTCTGTTTTATATGTATACATGTGTGTTTATATATATGTGGGTGTGTATAAATAGATATTTATAGATACAGATAAAGATACACATCAGTTAGTAGTATAGAAAGCTGGCCAAGGAGCTAGGAAGTTCTGAATTTGAGTTATACTTCTGACATTACTGACTGCATGACCTTGAACAAATTAAGCAACTCTCTAAAGCTGAAAACGGAAAAGCAAGCTTTAAATTATTTTGGTAGAAAGGGTTTCCTTATATAGTATATTCCGAGATCAGTGAAATCTTTGGTCCAGTTACTATCCTGATCCTTAACCTGATATCTATGAACATATCCAATGTAAATGATATATAATAATACGTTAGTACCAGGATTTCTGTTTTTGCTTTTTAGGGGAAGTGGGGAGATGGAATGTCCAGACCTGTGCTTTTATTGGTATGGGTAATGTATGGTGAGGAAATTTCCTCACAAACAAATGCAGAGGATTGGAAATATTAAATCCCTATCTTTTAATTGCCATAATACAATAAAAAGTTTATTAACAGAGACACTGAATAAATGATTAAAATTCTATTTGAGAAAAAATAACATCCTAAAAAATTGGATTGTGAAAGAACAATTCATAAAACACCTTTTTCAATGAAAGAATGAAAAAACAGATCAAGTAATTGAATTAAAATACAATTTTAAAACCTTAATTAAAAACAAAACAAAAAAACAACTTCAGAAAAACAGATTTACAAAATTGAAAGAAAATAATGAATTTAAAAAGAGGTGGGCTTTATTTTGAAAAAATAATAAAATGGATAAACCATTAGCAAATTGGACTTAAATTAAAAAATAAATTATCAATATCAAAAGTGATAAAAAATTAGGACAGGGGCATTAATACAATTTTTGTGGAACTGTGAACTGGTCTTGCCATTTGGGAAAGTCATTTGGAATTACATCCAAAAGTCATCAAAGTATACACTTTTTTTCTTTACCACAAATAGTGTTAGCCTAAAGAAATCCAAGAAAGAGGAAAAAACCCACATGTACAAAAATATTTGTAACAGCTGTTTTTGTAGTGGCAAAGAAGTGTACACAAATAAGGTGCCACATCAATTGGGGAATGACAAATTATGACATTTCAGTATAATGAAATATTTATTGTACTATAAGAATTGATGAAAAGATTCTGGCTTCAGAGAAACCTGAAAAGACTTGCGTGAATAGATGCAAAGTAAAGTGAGCAGAACAAGGAGAAATTTTTCTATAATAACATTATAAAAACAAAGAATTTTGAAAGACTTAAGAATTCTGATCAACAGAATAACCAACCATGATTCCAGAGTCAGGCAGTCAACTGGCACTTCTAAAGTACCTACTAAGGACTAGGCAATGTGCTAAATACTAGGTATAAAATGAAGCATGTGACCTATATCCTGACAGAAAGGAGATGAATTCAGGGTACAGTACGAGAAATAAATTTTTTGGACCTGCCCAAAGTGGGAATTAGTTTAACTTAACTATACATATTTGCTACAAGCAAGGGTTCTGCTTCACACTTTTAAGGCAGAGGGAAGGTAAGCAGGGCTCAAGAAATAGATTTTCCTCTTTAAAAAAAATGTTTAAAAATTTTAAGAAGAGAACTATCATAAGGATAAATTGAAAGTCTATGTGCTATATGAGGACAAGAAAAGGTGCCTGGAAAATTTAAGGGAGTTTAGAAAGAATGAATGAATAAGCGTTTATTAAGTACTTACAGTGTGTCAAGCACTGTGTTAATTACTGGGGATACAAATGGAAAACCTAAATAGTCCCTGTTCTCAAGGAATTCATATTCTAATAGAGGAAACATATAGAATGTTTTAGCTACAAATCAGAAGGAAAGGTTTCAAAGTCCTTAGGGGGCAGTGGCAAAGCAGATAGATGGTAAAGCCTCTTCTTTAATGTTATTTCCACTGAAAAAAATTGCTTAGTTTCTGATGGTAACCATTTGATTGATAGAGTGAAGGACTTTGGTGACAGCAACTTTCTTTTCAGGGTCTTTAGAACTTCTGGCTGCAGCCCCTGAAATCATTGTTATTCCCAAGTATCTTGGATTCAAAATCCTGTGATGTTTTCATCAGAGTCAGAGGGGATTCGGTGGCCAGAGGGCTGATGGTGATTTGATTTGCCTTGCACATGCTGATTCTAGTCTCTCCCCTCAAGGTACCTTGCTGCTTCAGCTAGGCTAGCATGCTGCAATCAGAGGGGTGGTGTGGTTTTGGTTATTGGTAATTGGTGAAGTCTGGGGAGTCAACACATATAAGAACATTCAATCTCAGGGTGGATGGAAAAGATCAAGGGTATGGAGAGTGCAGTAGCAGGGCAAATGGCAAGACCTGCTGATCATCAATATTACTGGGAAGATTACATTTGATCATTCTTTGCTATTTCATGGAGTTCAAGTGGCCAGACAGACCTCAAGGCTATTTGGTACAAGTTCATAACCACTGGAAAAAGGGGAGTAGACCTAGATGTCAACGTAGAACACATGCTCTGAATTACTTCCTGGCATGGACAGAGTGGGACTTAAAGTCAGAGAGGAGTCGAAGAGAAGCCCAAACACTAATATTTCGGAGGCCTGCCTCTTTCATCTTTCAGTAAGATTGGGATATCCTACTTGGCCTTCTGGGACAAAGGGTAGTTACTAATGCCAAGAGGCCAAGATTGAGAAAACTGTCATGGCTAAGTAATCTTCAGGAAGCACTTGAGGAAGCCTTGAAGAGGCACGTGGTCCCTGTCATTGTCAATGAAAGAGTAATTCATAGGGGGCAGCTAGGTGGCCTAGTGGATAAAGCACCAGCCCTGAAGCCAGGAGGACCTGAGTTCAAATCCGGCCTCAGACCAAACACTTGACACTTACTAGCTGTGTGACCTTGGGCAAGTTATTTAACCCCAATTGCCTAAAGAAAACAAAAAAAAAAAAACAAAAAAAAAATGAAAGAGTAATTCATAGTCAAGAAAAGTCTAAGATGACATGGGGCAGCAGTAATGTCTCCCCAAAAGCTGTATCACTGTAAGAGCTACACTGTGGCCCTGAGGCTGAAAACGGGTAATTATCAAGTTCTACCTTGAGTACTGATTTATTTTCTCCTAGTTGCTTTGTATATGATTCAAGTAAGCAGCCATCTTAATAAAATTATAAGGTATTGCCCTCCTTGTAGCTTGTTGCTTAAGTAACTTGGCTTGCCAAAGGGATGATTAACTGAAGAAAAAATAGGAGGCTTTCCCACTCAATTATTATTATTATTTTAATAGGATTTTATCTTTAAAAAGCATAAAAATTAATCAGTATTGCTAATCTTCTCTTCTTTCTCTCTTGAATTCTAAGCTAACCCTTCATACCCAACTAACTAGAATACCATTTACTCAAAGAAGCATTCAGTAAGCCTCCCAAGCCAGAAATTCATTTCCCTACCTCACATCTCACATTGAACTTTGCTTTTATAACTCACTCACATTTGAAATAAAATCACAAGAGAAATGAAGGCTTTGCAGCATATAAGTTTATTTTTCCTAATTCCTAAAATTATGGCTGGTAAAGATTATTACTGAAAATTCTAAAATTGTGGTAATCACTATAAGAATCTGTCAACAAAAAGAGAGAATCATCTCAATCTAGTCTACATGAATATTATATAAAATTAATTCCCAGAACGTAAATTATAGCTGAAGCAGTCTCATAAATGTGGTATCCAACTTAGTGAATATTCTGAACTTTTTACCTGGAAACAAAGTATCCTCCTAACTGCAAAGTCTCAAAGTAAAATGTGAGTTGGTTTTAGGCTCAGAAAAAATACATGGAAGAGGTCAAAGAGTATTTTAAAAATCAAATAAGAGAGGTAGACAAAAAACTAAGAAAAGAAATGAGAGTGGTGCAAGATTATCATGAACCTTAGCGAAGGAAGCACAAAAATTTTTTGTTAAAGATGTATAAAAATTTACAAGAAAACAGCTCCTTAAAAAGTAGAACTGGCTAAAGATGTACAAAAATTTACTGAAGAAAACAGCTCCTTAAAAAGTAGAACTGGCTAAGTAGAAAAGGGGATAAAAAAAGCTCATTGAAGAAAATAGTTTTTTTTTATTTTTTTTTTGAAGATAATTTTTTAAATAGCAAAATTGGCCAAGTGGAAGCTAATGACTACACCAGACATCAAGAACCAATAAAATCAAATCAAAAGAGTGAAAAAAATAGAAAATGTGAGATACCCCATTGGGGAAAAAAAACTGACATGGAAAATAGATCCAGGAGAGACAATCTGAGAATTATTGGACTACCTGAAAGCCATAATCAAAAAAAGAGCCTGTACATCTTATTTCAAGAAATCATGAAAGAAAACTGTCTTGCCATCCTAGAAGGTAAAATAGAAGTTGAAAAAAATCCAGTAATAACTTCCTGAATGAG